CCTGTGCCATGACATCTCGACTACCGGGCCGCAGCTCGTGTAGCCTTCATTTGCCCTGGAGAATGTCCATCGACCCCCGACTTCATCCATCTCCAATCCGTGTACTTTTGTTTATAACCAGACTGAGCCACAAACTAAGCCTTACCCACTAGACATGTGGAAGTACGGTAGTGCTTTGCAACAGAGGCCCGAGCTTAATCCTTATATTGGCCGGGGTGCTACTTCCCACAACTGGCATGCACCCAAACCCCACCGGAAAACAGGTTTTAGGGGTTTTGAAAGAGGAAGAGAGGGGTATGTCCAATTCCACCATAAGCCAAACATTCCATAGTATCCAAATGATATGAGAACTCCCAAAGTCTAAAATTATAAAACCACCTAATGTTGCCTAATTAATCAGCGAAGCATCTTCCTGAATTCATACTAGTGGAACCAGGAATAGAGTACCCACTAGTTGGGGTTTTGTTTATTCTAGGGTGAACAAGGTAATAATAACAATAGCAATAATAATGTCATAACCAAGGTAAATAGGCATGGCTAAATAAAACAGTGATAACGCGGGAATTTAAATAAAGCGATAATGCAATAATTTAAATCAAAATAATTTTATAAACTGGGATTCAATATGTTCAAGGATGATGTGACTTGCCTTGCTCAGAGAGAACGGCCTTCCGAACCTTCGGCGACGACCACGAACCACGCTTCGGGAACCTCCGGAACGACGAAGACTACGCGAAGCACCCAAGCAAAGCTACAAGCCTATAAAGAAGCAATAACAATACATAAAAAGAAAGCACACGGTTCTTTAGGTTATAACAAACATTAGGAGACTTGAACGGGTCGATTCAGAGTTCGTATGACCAAGATATGATCATCCGAAGTTTAATGCTGTTATATGAAGATTTGCGGATTATTATAATTAAGCTTTGCAACTATAAAACATGTGTAAGCGCTAGCCTGGAAAAGACAGGAAGGCTGCGCCGTTGACATGCGGACCCCACATGTCAACCTAAAGGACCGCGGTAGACCGGGTACACAGAGACGGTCCACGGGTCGACGGAAGCGGACCCCGTGTGTCAACCGAGGCGAGTGGCCGACAAACGGACTCCACTAGACACCACACGGGTTGCACACGTGGAAACCACGCGGCTACCGAGCGGGCACACTAACACGGACACTACACGGTCACCACCCGCACACGTGAACGACTACCGACACCGGTACACGGGTACCGGGGTCGACGACCGCACAACGGGTACGGGGCGACACCGAAAGGACGAGGACGGGGCAGCGAGAGGAGAGATCCTTACCACCACGCGACGAGGCGTGGGAACGACCACGACGAACGGGCGCGGCTGAGACGGACGGCGAGGGAACGACTTCGGCGGCGATCCCTGAACGAAGGCGAGACACGGCCGGCACGAGGCTTGACGACGCGGAGCCGAGGACGAAGACGATGACGGGGCTGCTGCACACTTGACGAAACGCGGGCGGCGGACGAGAACGGCTTGACGGAGGGACGAACGCCACAACGACCGGGAACGACGAGAGGACGACGACGACCGGGGCCGGCGAGGAGACGACGAGGGCAGCCGGCAGCGGCTGCACGGAGGCGAGGATGGCGTGGAACACACCGCTGCGATGCCGACGACGGAGGCGGCGCCGCGAGACGGCGAGCCGGCGAGGATGAACGGTGAAGACGACGACGGACACCGGCGGTGTTCGGTCGGAGGGGAGGCGAGGCCGAGGACGACGTCGCGGCTGCGATGCCGAAGATGGTAGTGGTGCAGCAAGCCGACGAGCCGGGGAGGAGGAAGGGGCGGCCGAAAGGACGCTGGCGACGAAGAGGATGGAGAGGCCGGCGCGGCGACGGCGTTCCGGCGAAACCGAGGAGCAGCCGGGGTGGAGGGCGATGCGGCGACGCCGAGGGAGGGGACGGCAGCGCCGGCTGATGCACGGGCGCGGCGGAAGGGGCTGCCGGAGGAGACGTCGACGAGGAGGAAGGAGAGGCCGGCGCGGGCGACGGTGTTCCGGCGAAATTCGGGCGAGGAGGAGGTGATGCCGGGGATGAGGGCGGCGTCGCGGAGCCGAGGGAGGTGGTGGCGACGTCAACCGGCGCTCAGGCAGGGAGACAGAGGCGGCTGGAGGCGGCCGGCGCGGAGGAAAGGGAAGGGCGACGGCGGGAACGCAGCTCCGGGGGTCTCCGCGGGAAACGGAGGGCAAGCCGGGGAAGGGGAGGCCACTGCGATGCTGGAGGAGGCGACGGCGCGACCGGACGACGCTCCGGCGAGGAGGGAGAGGCGGCTGGAGGCGGCCGGCGGCACGGGAGAGAGAGGAGGACGGCGGGGAGAGGGCTAGGGACCACGGGAGATCGCGGGAGGGGGCTAAAACGATAGAACGGAGCGAGGGGGTTGCATTTTATAGCGGAGGGAAGCGAGCCGAGCACGGGAGAGGGCGGAACGGTGACGGGAATGGCGGCCGGCGGCCATGGTTGGTGGCCGGGAAAAGCGCGGCCGTTCCCGACGATTGGGGGCGCCATTCAAGGGGGAAATTGGGGGGAATTGAAGAGGATTCAATGGGGATTAAAACCCCCCAATTAATTTGGAAAGAACGGTTGGATTCAGGGCGGATTTGGGGGAGCAATGGCGCTAGGTTTTCCCGGAGGGGGAGAGGAGACTGAGCGGGAGGAGGAAGAAGACGACGGCCGGCCTGGCGCGTGGGCCCCGCGCGGCCAGGCGCGCGCTCAGCGCGCGTGCGACGCGCGTGCACGCGGGAGGGAGGGGCGGCTCGGGCAGGGGCGCGGTTTGGGCCGAGCGGCCGGCCCAGGAGGAGAGGAGGGAGGAGGAAGCTGGGCCGAGGGAGAGGGGAGCCCAAGAAAAGGAGGGAGAGAAGGAGAGGGAGAGAAAGAGAGGGAGGAGAGGGAGACTTCGGCCGCGGGCCGGAAGAGAGAGAGGGTGGACTTTGGGCCAAACTTGGCCCAAAGGAGGAAGGAAGGTTATTTTTAGGTTTTTCTTTTTACTAAACTTTGATAATTGTTTTTGTTGCTTAATAATTATTTCCGGTGCTCTGAAAATTCAAGTAAAATTTGAGGGCTCCTTTTAAACCAAGGAGAATTTAACAAAAATTCTCCGGGCCACATTCGAATCTTTCTTGTACGCATTTTAGTGTTTGCCAATTTCTTTTCGAATTTTAATTAATTCTATTATTCCTTTTAGAAAATAATTTTTATTTTGGGATGAATTTATCAGGACGTGACAATATTTAGTGTTCTGGATGCTTTTGTAATGTGAAACATGGGACAAAGCTGGTTGGTTTCATTTTGTTCTCTGAACTTGTCAAATGGTTATGGTGCATTATGGGTATGCTTTTGTAATGTGAAACATGGGATAAAGCTGGATGATGTTCTCAAGTTTGGTATTGAACTAGTCTGTTCTCAAATGGTTATATGTGTATTATGGGTATGCTGCCATTTTTTTTATCGGTGTGAAATGCTGTACAAATTGCAAGGTACATGTTGCTAAAATTTAGGGTACATGCTGTCAAAATTTTGCTTGCATGCTGTCAAAATTTTGGCATCTGGAGCAGCCGTTTATGTATACACATATATACAATACATGCAGCAATATATGCAGCACTTATATGCCACTATCCTGCTCAGAGAAGAGGAACAACAGGGCAGTATGCGTGCTGGCTCCTGACGCCATTTTGTTCTATCCGGCTAGAAGAGGCAGAGCAGCAGGCGTCCTGGCTCCGATGCCATTTTGTTCTCTCTGGCGACAAGAGGCAAGGGCAAGGCAGTCGGCGCAGGCGACCGGGCTCCTGACGCAGAGCAGCACGTAAAACCCCCTCTCCCTATCACTTTTACCTGACAGGTGGGGACAGGGGTAAAAGAGCCCGAAAAAAGAAGGAAAAAACAGAAAACAAAAAAGAAAAAGAGAAAATGACGGGAAAGAGAGAAAGTGGCATGAAATCAAAAAAAATTAGCAGCCATAAAATTAGTCTCAATCATTTTCATAACTATATTTTTCTTGGAAACGAAATCGAAAACGGTAAAGTCGGAAACAAAAACGATTTCGAAATATCAGAAAACCGAAAATAGAACCATACGAACGGAAATATATCGGTACAGATAAGAAACCGATAACAATTCATATTAGTGATAATAAATTTTAAATAATTATAATTCTTACAAACTTAGAGTATATATAACTCTTTCAAAAACATACATAACTAAATTAGCTCTACAATGTTTAAAAATAAAGTAATTCTTGACGTTTTGAACAAGTTTAAGGTCACAATTTTATAACTTTAACTATTAATAACTTTAAAAATATATAATTTAAAGGTACTAAAACTATATATATATATATATATATATATATATTTGTATTACAAAGTATTATAATAAAATAAAAAAATGTATGTATTTATTTGTATATATTATAATAGAAAATAGAGTCAAAAATATATTTTGGATACCATGTCATTGTCCAAAATATCAATAATTATTGAGCTGGAGGGAGTATAAAATTATATTTTTACCCATTAAATTAATAATGAAAGATAATTTTACTTAAATTAAGATAATTTTACTTAAATTGTTGGACACATTATGGACTATTATTTTCAAATAATAGACTGTTTGAACGTAAAGCTTACGCTATTATGTTTTGTACCCATTAAATAACAATTTTTTTATGATTTATACTGACTAATCTATTATATAAAAAAGTCCATTAAACCTCATACAAATCTATACCTATACTAATCGGGCATTTCCTACGAGCTTTCACGTTAACTAGAGAATTCTGACCGCTGGTTAAATAAGTGATTTAATCTAACCCGTAGATCTTCACGTGATATGCCTTTATTAGTTTTAATTCTGTAGGCTTGGTTTAATCTCTGCGTTTAGTTAGTTTTGTGGGCTGGGTTTAATCAAAACCCACGTAACTATATAAGCCCATTTACATGGATATGACGGTCCTTATCTTCAACCGTATAGGAGCGAGGCAGGAGAAGCATTGGTTGGCTGGGTACGCCGCATCCAGCTTTCCTTCTCTCCGTCCGCGGGATAGTCGCGAGTCATCGCTACCAGCGAGCGCGAGTTGGAGATCATCGGCTTTCGCGGCAGCGACTTCTACGGACGAACCAACCGTCTCCGATTTGGAGTCCTGCTCAGGTGCTTCTCTTCCCTTATCTAAATCGGTTTCTCATATTTAACGATACCCATCTGGACTCCGATTTGAACTCCAGATCAGGTGCTTCGTTTCGTTAATCAAAATTGATTTGTCATATGCAACGATATCGATCCATACTAAGACTTTGTTACGCCATCGTTAATAATCCTATAAATTTCAGGGGTCAATATGTTTGTTCCACAATTTATCCGTTTTCCCAACTATCGCATATTCATTGTTGCGTTGGCAAAAAGAGCAAACTTCCATATGTCTCTGCCGCATCCATATATAATACACAAAGATATTTCGTCCAAACTGGACTTGATTTGTGATTTTGATTGGAATTAAAGAACTATGTGCTGATCTTTTGCCTGTTCAAAGGACTGTTTGCTATTCTAACGAACATATTCTGCTGCTATGTTATCGATTGTGATTTAGACAATTGAATCGAGTTTTTTAATGGTACTAGAAGATAAAATGTACTGGTAATTTTCTAAATAGCAGAATAATAGACAGAAGACAAATTCACTATTGCTATTAAGCTATATTAATAAACTAATAGGTTAAAAGCCTAATAAAAAAAGCACAGTTCTGACTTTTGAGGTTTTTTATTGGTAAGAGAAGCAGATAAAATATATTTGGATTATGATCCTTTTTGAAAATTTTTGGATTATGATCCTTGTAGCACCTTTGCCCTAATAAGTAGTTCAATTAATAGATGGTTCCATTGACAGATATAATATAGTAGCAGTTTTTTTTTTTCATCTAAGTCAAAAATATTCATACTATTGATCTTCAATCCCTTAAATTGTTGTCGTTGTATCAGCTCCTGCTGATTATAAACTTAGTTACTACTTGGTCCCATTGACATATAAATTTGTAGCCTGATCCAAAATTCTTTTTCCTTTTATCAAAACTGAAGGATAACTAGAATGGCATGTGATATGCTTCAAGTTGTTAACAATGAAAAGTAATCATGGAAAGTCAAGGTAATTAGACTTTTCGTTGCCATAAATCCCAACAGCAACGAGCTTATTAGCCTCGACAACTTATTGATGAGGAGGTTAGCATAACTGTTCTTCTCACAAATAATGTTTGATATTTACATTTGCTTTCTCACATATATTATTTATTGCAGAACACCATGATGCATGCTATTGTAAAGAAATTTCAGGTCAGAAGGATCAGTGCACATGATATCAAATTTCAAGGTTTCTTCAGTAGCACAATATATTTCAGTTCACAATGACAAAATTCTCAACTTCTTAAATACTACCAAATATATGTATAATTGTAAGAGTTTCGCTATTGATGCAATAAGGTTGTAAAACTTCTTTATTATCTATATATGTAACCCATACCAATATAATGACTGTAGCTGTGTTCAATAAAACATCAAACTAGAAGTAACAATGATTATTTAGTTTTAATTTTAGAGAATTTAATAATTTTAGAATTCAAAATTAATAAATATGAAGTTGGATCTATATATTTGAGACTCTCACCTTAGTATTTCATTAACATAATTAAAAAAAACTACTACCTCCGTTTCAGGTTATAAGACATTTTAATTTTGGTCAAACTCATTTATAATACCAAATTAGTTTCATTAAATCAATAATTGAATATATTTTTATAATAAATTTGTCTTGGGTAGAAAATGTTGTTATTTTTTCTACAAACTTAGTCAAACTTGAAGCGGTTTGACTTTGACCAAAGTCAAAACATCTTATAACTAAACGGAGGGAGTAAATTAAAAATTATAAAGCATCGATAATTCCACAAATAACTAAAGTATTAAGAATATGATCATAATTTTAAAATTTATTTTATCGGGTAATAATAGCCCGTGCAACGCACGGGTTGGCGACTAGTACTCCTAGAGCATCACGTGTACTCTTACAAATGCTCATAAGCTGTCACGTGGCACCATAATAAATTAGAGAAACTCCGAAAAATCTGAGAAATAATAAAAATATCTAACCATTTATTTCCACTTAAACCAATGGACTTATTATTTTGGACCGTTGCATCAGATTTATACAAAAAAAAGAAAGGTTGTGATTCGCTATCTCCTCTCCCGTGTCATAGTATTCATGCCCGTATATGCCTACACATTCGATACACGTACGATGCACCCCTTCCCTTCTTTTTTTTTTTTACCTATGGTAGTTAAGATATAATAATCCATTTCTAATCTGAGATATATCTACAGTTAGTCTCATGTACCGTACGGTAGTTAAGATTTAATGGCATGCATATGAGGATTTTATGTGGTCTTGATGATTCGATTCTTTTACCACAACTTTTAATTGTACATCCAATTTTTAATCGGTTTCAACCATTGTATTTTTGTTAATTAAATAAACCCGTATTGAGTACGAAATTAACATAAGCTGAATTGTTTTCAAATATGAATATAAGTATATCATATACATGGCACTAACCATGCACGTGTATTGTTAGTTTAATTATTAATCAACATTTTTGGACAACAACTTACATAAAAAACAAGAATGCCTTGTAAAACCATCGAGCTGTAAATATTAGAAATGATCGTACAAATTCTTGAAAAAACGACATTTGACCCTTAATTTTAAATCAAATTGGTGGACTAATTATTTCAATAACTGGAGATTTCTCTCCTCCCCACCCTCCCCCATGCAGCATGCACCCTTCCACTACACACACCTCTTTCCTTTTTTTTTCCTCCCTAACAAATAAAACCGGAATTATGTTTATGGGCCGTTAAAAAGCCAAAGTATAGAGTCATTGCCAGCTCTCCCTCTGGCCTTCACCATCCTGTGCTTCTTCCTCTTTTTTTTCTTCTCAAATGGGCGTTATCCAAGTCTATAAATTTATAAAATACTCCCTTCGTTTCAGGTTATAAGACGTTTTGACTTTGGTCAAAGTTAAACTGTTTTAAGTTTGACTAAGTTTGTAGAAAAAATAATAACATTTTTAACCCAAGACAAATTTATTATAAAAATATATTCAATTATTGATTTAATAAAACTAATTTCGTATTATAAATATTACTATATTTGTCTATAAACTTAGTCAAACTTGATGTAATTTGACTTTTACCAAAGTCAAAACATCTTATAACCTGAAACGGAGGGAACATCTTATAACCTGAAACAGAGGGAGTACATTTATATCCTTAATCTTAATTTAACTAGCAAAATGCCCGTGCGTTGCACCGGGTATTAGCGGGGTGACTAAAGTTTGATATTAATGATTTACCAAAACACCATAGTATAATTATTAGCATCGGTTATATGTACAGTGATAAAAAAAGCCATGTTTGTGTTTTACTATTAATCTCAATCTCTACTACATCATCCGTGTATGAGTCAGTTTTTCTAAGTTCGTTCGTTTTTTAAAATACAACAAGGACTCCTAATTGCATCTCATAATTTTCTAAAAACGTCCAATAAACGACCAATGAAACCACACACAATCCTAAAAAAGTAAAACAAAGCAATAATCAATTCAAAGTATATATGCCATTAATTAGATCTCGATTTCAAAGAGATTATGGAAGTTGAACGGAGTCAAACAGAGTTATGGTTCACAAGATATGGATTTCCGAAGTTTGAAGGATTTATAAACCGAGGGGAAGAGTGTCTCGGTGAGGAGATGATTTAGACTTCCAGAGGGGTCTTTGGGTTAAAGAGGGATGTAACATGGATTTTAGCGGACAAAGAGGACTTCACACAGACTCCTTTAGAGGGATCCATCTCTCGGGATCGGCCGAGGCAAAAAAAAGGAGCCAACATAGACTTGTACAAGGAATCGACCTCATGGGCTTGGACAGAGAAGTAGGGGGAGATGATATAGACTTTTAGAGGGAGAGAGTTCAGAGAGGAAGAGTCTAGACTGTGGGTCCCACCCCCTTTCTCTTTCTCTTTTCCTTTCCCCTCTCTCTCTCGGTCTCATCTCCATCTCTGCCTTTCTCCTCTTCCTTTTGAGCGCTACACCAAGGGCGAGCGAAGGCGACGCGGCTGGGGGTGGCGGCGGTCTGGCGCAGCTCGGCGGCGGCCTGGCGCGACGGTGCGCGCGGGAGGAGGTGGAGAGGAGAGGTCGGCGCCGCGTGGTGGTGGCGGCGACCTGTCGGTGGCGCGGTGCGGCCGGGGTGGCGGCTGGGCGGCGGCCTGGCACGGGTGGCCGGTGGTGAAGGAGGGGGGAGGCTAGCGGTGTGGAGATGGAGACCGGCGGCGGTGGGGATGGGAGAGAGGGCGACCAACCACCCCCTTCCCTTCCTCCCTCCATCCATCCATCTTTATCTCGCCCAACCACCCCCTCCCCTTCCTCCCTAGGTACGTCCTCCCCATACCGCCGCCCGACTCCCACCCGCCCCCAGCGTCGCTCGCCGCCTCCTCACCACCGGACCTCGCCGCGCGGCCGTGCCTCCTCAGCCTTGTCGTCGCCGCCTTCGTCCTTCCTCTCGGCATCTCTCCCGTGCAGCGAGTTGGTGTGGGCACAGGAGCCGCAGCGGCGGCTCTTCGGCGCAGCGGCTCCGCTGCACATGCAGCGGCGGCGCCGCGGCTCCTCGGTGCAGTGGCGGCTCCTCGGCTGGGCCGCGCCTCCTCGGCCTCGTCGTCGCCGCCTGCTCGGTGGCTCCCCGGCGCAGCGGCTCCCCCGTGGCTTGGGACCTCCACGACGGCGAGGTGGCGAGGAGGAAGTTGGGCGAGGAGCAGCAGAAGCCTCCCGCTCACCCCTCCCTCCTCCTATGTGATGTTGGATTATCTCCTATCCTGGAATTTTTTTTTGGCTGATTTCGATTGGATTGGGATTGGGATTTAGTTTTTGGGTTAGATTTGTGATGATTTGGGATTGGTTGTGGGATGTTCAGAGCGGATGAATCAGAGGGAGGAGGTGCGCAATGCACGGACTAAGACGGATTTGTGCGGTTTTTATTATTCTTCTCGTTCGATTTCTCTTCCTCTACGTTCTATGTTTGGTTGGATTTTGTATTCGATTGAATTTGTGTAATATCAATGTGTGGCGCGTGTGGGAACGGAGGGCTCGATTCCGATTGGGATTGTGGGGGTTGGGGGAGGGAGGGGATTGCGACGGACGGATGAAAAGGCGAACGTTCGAGGTGACGACCGGAAAAATCCAAATCTTTTAATTAGTTAAGATAAGATATAGCACCTGACATCCAAAATTCAAATGGCATAATTGAAGTGCTAACGTAGTCAGCTCCTTCGCTATAGTATGCCTCAACATCAACTCCCACCACTGCTAAATTTGAAGTCCATGTCCACCTTTACCATGACAATTGCACCGCATCGGATATGCAGGATTATCCTCTCACTATTGCATTGTCTACATATCTTGGCTCCAGGGACCTTCGATCACTACCGCCGCCTATCACTTCGCCTTCTTTCCCATAGACACAATGGGATCCAGAGAAATCGATATGGGGGTGGTGAGAGTCGATTTAATAATGAAGTGTCTATTCTTGCCAACATAAATGATTATGTCTGCCCATAAATAACGCTCTTGGTAATTACCATCTGTATCCTATAATATAAGGGTTCTTAGGATTTTTAGCAACAATTAAGGAGGAAGAGAAAAGACTATGGTATCCGTCGTTACATAAAGTGTAGGTAGAGAATGGAAAGGTGGTTGGAATAAGATTGGGTAATAAATGTTTGGATGGGATAAATGATACTCAACCCTTTACATCTTGAGACAAAATTTGAATTCTGAATTTATTGGGATGAAGTGAGTAGAAATAAATATAAGTCTATCTTTACATTAAGTAGTCCTAGCGCTAGCCTCCTCCAACTTTTCTTAATTAAACTTTAACATCAAAACCAAATAAACAGAATGCCCTTGCCAGTCACATCAACCATTGACTGATCAGGCCTGTCAACCAGTCAGGCAAGTTGCATGCTTCCTTTTCAATTCGTTTTTCATGATCGTCCTGATTCATTGCAAGCAAACTGATCATTTTTGCTTGCTAGGGTGTCAATTAGATGATTATTGGTTGTCTTTCTCTAAATTGAAGGTTAAGTTCCAATCTGTTTCTATTTTGGGACACTAAATTATAACGAGCTTCAAATACGCACGAGACTATTTGAAGCCCTTCGAGCTTTAGATGCAATTTTTAAGAAGTTGCTTGATTCTGCGCGAGTACAATTGTATTGCTTTTTATAATATAATGCACTTTTTTTACCATGGAAAATCCGGTTGTTTTAATTGAGAATTTTAAGTCATTTTTGCCTCTTTTAGTATGTTTTAGATATGAGTGTGGATTGCGGCAGTTCTCCAATTTGGGCATCCCATTTTGTTGTGATTTTAGTCTTTACTTTTTTTAATTACACTCCAATAATCAATATTGACATTAGGTTCTCTATTTTGGTAAGAACTTTTATCACTGCAATTTTTTACCTACTTTTGTTTATTGAATTATTTTGGCCGAAAAATAGTGAGTCATTTATTGAATTATTAATGCTTAAAATTAATTATTTTACTGTAACATCACATATAAGGTTAAACTTATGTTACAGTGGTGCACCCCCCTCGATGTTGCTCCAGCTTCGCCGCTGAATTGGAACATTATTTGGAGGGTTATGTATGTAATTTCCAAACCATCAGATGATTTTTAGTCTGAGTAACATGTACATAAGGAGTTATACAGCAGTATATGTTAATTCTGTCCTCCAATTTCTTATTATTACTTTGCAAATAATTTATTGTTATTGTTTTTGATAATGAGCCAACAATTTATTTGGCTATATTTGTCAGATGTTATATATTAGTTTGGTAGTTGGGCTAGTTTTTTTATAATGGATTAAATAACACGGCCTCTATATCTAATGGTCCAAATCAGCCGGATACACTCATCCAGCATATTGAGGGAATATTCGTTATTATGGGCCGCTCCATTCACTCTGCCCTCCAACCAAACACTATAAAAAATCAGACGGCCATCTCCCATCCAAACTACTCCACCCAACCGGACACAACTAGATGTACACAACCGCAAGTTGGGCTAGCTAGCTAGATGATGTCTTTGATACTATTTTTTTCGTCCATTTGCAGATTATTACCTACTCATTAACTTATAAAGGACTATCTTAGTTCATTCTGCATTTATGTTTGTAAAATGCACACAAGGATCGATATACATATAACGTGCATTAATCCACATCCTGTAGCAAAACGCATGATATCAACTAGTAAATGCATTATATATGTGTTCTGCTTTATTTCAAGGCCCTCACTTACATTCCTTCAATAATTGTGATCTCCTCATAAATGTACACAAAAGTGCACATGTTTTATACCCCAAGTAAACAAAACAAGCACTTTATATATATTTTGACCAAAATGTGTTTGTTAAACAAAAAAAGGTGATTGGACAGATTCTCGTGAACAAAAAAAATTGTAGGGATATTCACAAAATGTTTGGGCCGTACAAGTGATGGGCTTGGGCTTTCTACTTGGACCATCCTACTGTTTATGGGCCAATTTCTGCGACGAAGAGGTGAGACGCAGACGATGGCGTCGCGGCGTCGCACCGCCGGCGGCGACCGGCCTGGCACCTGCCGCTGCATTCCGCGGCCCACCAAACAGCCGGCCGATCATCGCGTTCACGTCCCCCGGCGTCATCCACGCCGCCATGCCGTGCCGCCGGTAGAGCGCCCGGTACGCCGGCACCACCGCCGCAGCCGCCGCCGCCCTCACGGCGTCGCCCATCTCGTCGTCCGCCACCGCCACCCACCTCCGCTGCGACGCCACCGCCTCCCTCACCGCCGCGTCGGCGCCCTCGCCGCCGACCACCAGCACGTCCCGCCACGCCGCGTGCACGAACGCGTCGACGTGGCGCCTTGTCTCCGCGCTCTGCGCCACCGCCCATCCCTCGCCGCCGACGATGCCCACCAGCTTGCTGCTGCCGCGCACCTTCTTGGACACGTAGTGCGTGTTGTTCGCCATGAACAGGGACCTCGCCGCCGGCGACCGGTGCCTCCCGGCCATGGCGTCCAGCTTGCGCAGCAGGACGGACACGAGACGACCAATCGGGTTCGACGACGACGACGACGACGATGGAGAGTGCGGCGACGTGCTGCCTCGGCCTTGCTGGTAGATGCGAGCAAGGGTGTCGTCGTAGTCGGCGAGGAGGACGAGGTAGTTCATCACGTAGCGGGCGAGCGGGTGCACGGCGCCGCCGGTCGCCGCCGCCGACGACTTGGACGTCGCCTTCTGGATCGCTTCCTCGAAGCTGACGAGAATACCACGCGCCGCCTCGCCGGCGTTGCGAAGAGCGGCGGTGGCGCGGACGGCGGCCTCCGACTTGTCGCCGAGGACGCACACGATCGCCGGGAATATCTCGACGAGGGTGGCGTGGACGTCGAGCACGTGGAACAGCCGCTCGGGCGCGCGGCGCGCGCGCGCCACGGCGGCCTCGGCGACGGCGAGGAGGTCCGCGGCGTGGTCGCTGGCGATCCCCTCGAACACCCTGTCGGCGACGCCCGCGTCGGCGGCGGCGAACACGCGGTGGCAGAGCACCCTCTCGCCGGAGAAGGCGAAGTTGAACGCGAACCCGGCGGCGGTGTGCCACGACCGCACCTTGCCGTCGACGTCGTCCCACGCGAGCTTGCGGAAGCGCGCGTGCTGCGACGGCGCGTACCCGAGCAGGCGGCGCACCGCGCCGGCGAACTCCGCGCGGCGGTGCGACATGAACGTGGTGACGCACTCCATGCCATACCCAGCCGCCACCATGGCCTCGGCGACCAACCGTATATGCCCCACCACAACAGCACCGTCACCATCCAAGCCATGGCCGGACATGGCGGCGCCGTCGCCGTCGCCGTCGTCGGCGGTGTTCGACCTCACCGCCGACAGCAAAATCTCCAGCTCGAGCTGCAGCCTCCGCATGGCGTCCTCGAGAACCCCCTGCGCGCGCACAAGCCGTTCGTCCCCACGGTCCCCACGTCCCCGCGCATCCTCGACATCCGACGACGCGAGCACGAGCATCCCGCGGTGGAGCTCGACGGCGGCGGACATAAACCTCCCCGCATCCGCAAAGCCGCCGTCGAGGAACAGAGAGCTCCGGCGCCGGCGCCGCCCATCATCATCGGAGCGCCACTTCTCGACGAGCGCCGCGACGTCGGCGACGGTCTCCTCGAGCATCCCATTGGTGGATCTACTGCTGCCACTGCCGCTGCTGCTAGCCATTGCGACGAGCGCCATTGATCGATTCTTGGTGTGTTCCAGAGCAAGCTACATGGATGGAGTAATATATAGGCGGCGATGTCGGCGACACGACACGACGCGACGCGACATGACGCGTGAGCTAGCGTTGCAGGATCGTCAGCGATCAGCATGGAGGAAGATTATTATTTGTCGTTGGTCGTCGCTACTCGTTTTGGTTACTTTTGTTCGTTTGCGACCTAAGCTAGTGTGTATTGACCTGCATCTTGCTTTCCCGCCACCTTGTTGTTTCCCGCCACCTCTGCTCTTGACCAAGTTCTGATCGAGTTGTTAAAAGACTATAGGATGACAATGACATGTCCAAGATAACGGCAACAGTAATATGTACTGACTTGGTAAAGAAGTAATTAAACAACGTGTGCGATTACGTTGATTAATGATAAGAGCTGCACCGGATAATACTGATCAGGAAGGCCTCTCTCCCCAGGCCTAATATATACGTGATGTTGACATTTAAAATTCGATTTTGCTATTCCTCTGTCGCGTGATTTTTTCTTACGCCTCACTCGGTTTTGTGGCCGATAGATGCTTAGCTGGTCTGTTAATCCCTAGAGAGCCATACTATTTTTTATTTACCATATTTTTATATTTATTCTGAATGAGTTAACTATCGTGTCGGTATACGAGTACTTATGAATTTTTATAGTGTTGTTTTTATAGACTATAATGTAATTCTTAAAAATTACATTGTAATTTTTTAAACTTACAGTGTAATTTCTTTGTATGTTACAGTGTAATTTTAAAATTTACAGTGTAACTTTTGAATTCTAAATTAGATTCAGTCTTCTAATTATTAGGATATGCTAAACAGCGTCGCTTAGATAATTTGTGTTGCAAATTGGCCTGAATACTCAAGTGTTCCCTAGCCCAACAATCTTCCGTGGATGCATCGGTGCATTGCAGGCCTGCCACGTAAGAAATAAAAACCGAGTGATATCATTTAGAAAATGTGTTAGAAACATCATGTCCCTTATTTTGTTTTTTATCCTACGGCTGAAAATTTGTGTGAGACCTAAGAAAAAAATCTGTCGAAAGATATCTAGGTAGTCCCTTTAAAATTTATGTTTAGATACAAGTGATTATAGAGTACTACTCATAATACCTTTTCAATTGAGCTTCTCCTTTTTTTTTATACTAGTTAATAGTCCGTGCTTTGCCACGGGATATGGGGATAAAATACATTATAAAAATAATAGATGTACATGTTTAAATAATGTTAAAATGATGTAGAGATAATAATTTGACATTGATTATATATTGAGTTCTAAAAATATAATAAAATTATAAATGATGTGTTATATTTAGAATACTCTAAATAATAATTACTAGTGAGTGATAATGTAACATACTTGTATGTGATTTAAAATACTATATGTAATAATTACTTATGGGTGATGATGTTCCACACTTGAATGTTAAGTTTTATAAGCTATTAATAGTAAGATATAAGGATATAATGGGGAAAAATCCCAACCTCTGTATCATATGTTACGCACACAACCGTTACTTATTACGATAAAGTCGTAAATGATTGACAATCTCGTCAGTACTCAGCAGGGAGCAAGACAGATTGGTCGCTGGTCGTCGGCTCGTCGCTACTCGTTTCTTAATTTGATCGTTTTCGACCATTGCTAGTGTGTATTGACCAAGTTCCTAGCTCCCGCCATCTGGTTGCGTTGGTTCTTGTTTACTGATGTGTGTTTAACTAGTTAACCTCTCTGCTCTTGACCGAGTTCTAATTAAGTTGATGAAATTCAGATGACATTGTCCAAGATAACGGCAACAGTAAGAATACGCAGTAAACGTAGTGACGTGTTATAAAAATAAACAAAGTTACGTATACGTACGTACGTAGTATAAATTAGCTAGGAACGCTGTAGAAGTTAATTAACGACAATATATAACGGCATCACATACTCTATTCAGACTGAAGGCCTCTTCTAGCTATATAGCAGCATTGCTTCTTCGTCCAAAAGTATGACATAAGTGATTATGACACTAAATTTAATTTTAAAACACAAGGATTATTAGACTACTACTACTTCTCATATGTAACCACCTTCGATTCAATTTCCACCAAACACCTTCGATTCAATTTCCACCAAATTTAACACAACCGCTCTTTTACTCTTCGAATATAGCCCTTATTTAATTAGGGACTTCATAGTTTTTTTTTCATTTTAATCTTAATTTCTCTACTCCTTTAAAAGCAGATCTGTTTGTTTTCTCCCTAGCTCGGCGTACGTGCTCTTCTTAGAGGAAAAACAATCATATGTTTTAGGTACATTCTAAGCATTTTAGAAAAAAAAATACTGTTAGAAGTGAGCGTCCAATTTTTTTTACAATTTTCTTTGACATTTAATAGTTAGTGTGCACGAGAAACTTGTGTTCATATTGTTGTGAATAGAATTGATTGAGCGAGAGAGATTGAGTGAGAGAGAGAGAATTGCACACAAGAATATAGGGAATGAATGAGCGATCTCTTTATTGATCAATGCGGTACAATATATAGATGGGGAAGGGGTGGCAACCGGAGACGTCCGTTGCTAGAATTGCCGTGAGGCGAGAAGAGGTGTGGGGCACGACCAACCGTTGTGTTCACCATTTATGTTCCCCTGTGAGTCACAAATACCAATTAGTTCACCATTTATTAAAATACTAACGCAGAAGGCGCCGGTGTGTGAAGTTTAATTTCAGTGGTTTTAATCTCCTATCCTTGAAAAGATATATACCTCCTTATACTTGAGATATATCTTTTCGTAAGCGAAGTTACCAAAACTAATGCTAAAGGTTTGAATAAGGTTGAAAACTATCTTTGTAAATATTCTTAAATTTTTATTTCGTTTTTTATAAGGTATTAGTACATGTGTTATTTGAGAGGTACATACCTCTAGGATAGAGGTATATAAATTATAACTAACAATGTGTGGTACATATATCTCTATATACTTCCCAAGAATCAGAAAAACTTCGTCATTACCTATTATAAATTTATTTTCTAATCGGTTTTATCACTAAAATAATAGGGAGGAATATACCTCTCTTAATTTAATTCTACTTTAACAAAGGCTTCTATTAGTTGTTACCTTAACCAAGTCAAGCTTAGCTTGATGGTGACCCACGTGTGTACTCCCTCCGTTGAAAAATACAAGCTAGCCACATTATATCTTCAAAAAGTCTTTTAAGACAAGACTATGAACATTTGGTTGATTAGTTCTTGAGACCCTACTATAAAAAGCACATTCAAAAATAAATCTATTAAAGACATAACTATATACTAAAGGCAATTAACAATTCGACTAACTGTTGAGTAGAATCTGTAAAGTTTGACATTTTCAAAATATAATTTTTTCTACGGATGGAATAATACGTATGTATTTGAAGTTAATTAATTAATACTCCCTCCGTTTCACAATGTAAGACTTTCTAGCATTGCTCACATACATATAAATGTTAAAATGAATCTAAACACATACATATGTCTAAATTCATTAATTAACATATAAATGAATGTGGGCAATACTAGAAAGTCTTATATTGTGAAACGGAGGAATTACATGCTTTGCTAGGAGAGGTGATTTATTTTTCCAATGGGACAAGCTAAGTAAGCTTGGCCTTCAAGCTTTAGCATACGTTTACACCGGCTAATTTTCTTTTTCTTTTTCTTCTTCGTTAAGTAGCTGGCTTGGTTTCCTCTGTCTAACAGCTGCTCGATCGAGATCTAGCTAGCTAATCCACAGGAACTGAAGAGAGAACCAGCAGTTAGCTGTCTGTCAACTTACGACTCTACAAGTCTATAGTCAAATCATATATACGCGTACGTCTTTTTTGTAAATTGTAAGCATCGTCTTTGACAAAATAACTCACTTTTTCCTCATTAGCGACATGTATATTTTTCTTCAAATAGTACCTAGAGGTGTTTAAACGCTATGACTAACCTCTTTTTCATATAGCGAAACTCACTACTAATTGACTGAACGATCTATTACCATGTGCCCGGCCGATAGCTAGGATAGCGGATAGCTGCTAATTAATTTGTCCTGAAAAGGCTCTAGTACAGGAGGGACGTCCTTATTTTCTAGATAATTTCTGGTCTAACTTTCACGCATCATCCAGAAACGTACGCCTGCTTTCTGCGTTGACAACATTAATGACGTATATATGGCTGCTATATAATTATATATATGGTCAATTAACCTGGCAAGGTTCATTTTATTAATATGGATATATTGACCATGCATGCATCGAGGTAAGTGTATACGTATGCATAAGCAAAAGAGCGCAAAACTGATTACTTATTAACACAAAAGTATATATGGATCAGCGTGGTGGGGTAGTACGATCGTGGATGTATCTTAATTTACGACTTTACCTATCATGGATGGCAGGGGCGAAGCTAGCATCAAAATATGGGGGTACAGTACTATCATTGAAAATCTAGAAAATTTCAGTATTATACTGTACGTTATAGTGTTTTTAAGTGAGAAATTAGAAATTTGGGGGTTCATGTGCACCCCCCCCCAAGCACAATATAGCTTCGTCCCTGATGGATAGAAAACGCGACGGAGTAGCACGGTTTCAATTTCTCTAAATTCCAGTGACACCCATCTGATATCACGAATATTAATAGCATTTTTCTAATTTGGTATATTTGTAGTGGCTTCGATCCGATTAATTAACCCTAGCTTAAATCGTAGTACCACAAATATTATGAAAAAAAATACAAGAAATGCCATTGACAAACATCCAGATTCAAGAAATGCCATTAACAAATACGGGTATGAGTTCTATAAAATATTATTTTAAAAGCAATTTTATCTCAGAAATACTATCGTCGTTAGGGTTTCCTACCCTTTCGCACCATTAAATGTATTATTCATCCTATGACACTTAACGAATGGTTGCAAATGAAACCCTAACGATAATGACATTTCTGAGATAAAGTCGCTTTCATGATGTTATTCGAGGAACTCGTACTTGTTGATAACGTTTCTTGCAATTGGACATTTGTCAATGATATTTGTGGTATTTTCTCATATCGTATGGTACGAGTCCGAGAGTGTGCTTGCAGTTTATATATTATATGTTTGGGTACATCTTCCATGTAATGGAAAAAATTAAGTACTTGACGGCTGCATAACATAGAATCTTATTCAAAATCACATATAAGGGTTATGATTTGCACCACAAATATTTAATCCATCTACCTCGAAACAGTGGATATGGGGAAAATAACAAATACATGTAGTTAAGGATTGTTCTCTTCTTCTCCATAACAAAATAGAGACACTAATTTATTAGAGAGAATCCCTTATATGCCACTGAAAATTGGTCTGAACCCTTATATGCCATTGAAAATTGGCTCTTCCCTTATATGCTATTGATCCAAATTTGCACACCCTCTCATGCCACTCCCGTCAGTTGACCGTGTGTTGACCATTAATTCTCAAGAAAAAAAGACGTATTTACCCTTCTAAGTATAGGGCATGCCTAACAACTTAGAGAGGGCAAATATGTCTTTTTTACTTGAGAGTTAACGGTCAACTGACAGTAGTAGCATGAGAGGGTGCACAAATTTAGACCAATGGCATATAAGGGAAGAGCCAATTTTCAGTGGCATATAAGGGATCAGACCAATTTTCAGTGGCATATAAGGGATTATCTCAATTTATTACTAAACGATAATTAAGCTGATGCGACTGAACATTTTTTTAAATTTAGTTACTCCCTCCATCTCCTAATATAAGGGATTTTGACATTTTACTTGCACTATTTGACCACTTGTCTTATTTAAAAAAAATTATACAAATTTAAAAAACAAAAAGTACTTTGGATAATAAAATAAGTCACATATAAAATAAATATTAATTATAAAAAAATTTTAAATAGGACAAATGATTAAATAGTACAAGTAAAATATTAAAATCTCTTGTATTAGAAGACGGAGGGAGTCTACTGATGAGTTAAGAATCATCTTGATCGTGATGTGGATGCTCCGTTGACTGTGAAGTCTGGCCGCAATGCCTCACGGTGCTGGCATGTAGAACCGCCTGTCCATTTATCAAGCCAAATTAATTGTTGTAAAAAAATTAACAAAATAGTAGCAGCTACATTAGGAAACAGTACAATTTAGTAGAGTGTTAATTTGAAAATAAAATTGGGTGACCCATATGGAGCTGGTTTTTAATATACACAAAAGTTCACCCGTTTAAAATCTATTAAATACTCATTTATTTCACATGGATGATCAAATTTAGATTCTATCATCAAACTACTACGACCTCTGCTTTGTTTGTTTGACGTCGGTTACTTCGTTTTTGAACTAACCAACATCATATAGCGTAGGTTTGAGTGTAGATAAGTTTGTGTGTTTATAATGTGCTTTGGAAAGAGAAAAAAAGAAAATAGCGATGGTAAGCCCTTATAATTTTAGCCTTTACTCAGCCTGGCCCAAGCAGCATCCCATGTCCAGTATAGGCCAGGGATTTGAACTTAGGTACCCGGCCCATAAACAGAACATGGGCCGTATAATGGGCCTTATAAGGGGCAACGAAACGAGTCAGCACGTACCAAGTAGACGTCGTGGAACATGGCGCGGTTGATGGTCTCCAACGAGGCGTCGCGGAACACCGCCGCCACGTGGTCGCCGGTGCTCGCCGTACCCTCCGCCGCCGCCGCCGCCGCCGCCGTCGCCGCTGCCGCCGCGTGGTCCGGGAACATGAGCGGCAGGTCGTGCTTCACCTTGGACCAGTAGGCAAGCCTCTCCTCGATCATGTCCATCTCCACGCACTTGCGCTTCGTACCGCCGGAGACGACGGCGACGCCAGCAACCTCCTTCACGTGCCCCTCGCCGGCTGTGATAGCGTCCGCCACCACGTTGGACGACGACGGTGGCGCCGGGGAAACCCTCGCCGTCGCGGCGGCGGCGGCGGCGGTGTGCAGCTGAAGCTTGTGGCGATTGAGCCAGGAGAGCATGGTGGACAGCCCGGTGCACCGGACCAGGCTGGCCTCCATCTCCTCGATCTCCCTCTCGAGGACGGCGAGGCTCGCCGCGCCGGCGGCACGCGCGTCCTCGGAGGCCTTGACGCGGCACCACCCCTCACGGAGCTCCATGGCGGCGGCGGCGCTCCCCTTGTCCTTGAACCTGTCGAGCACGACGGCGACCATCTTGACCGTGTCGACGCGGACCAGCTCCGCCGCGACGTCGCGGGACACGTCGGGGACCTTGTCGCGCCTCTGCACCACGGCCATCCGCTCGTCCAGGTGCACGGTCGTCTCCTTCCTCCTCGCCGCGTCCATGTACGTGCCGTGCGCGGTGAGCAGCTCGGTGACGCCGCCGCCGTCGGCCTCCCGGTCGACGTCGACGTACACGAGGAAGTTCTTGACGTCGCCGGCGCAGAGCGCGCCGGCGTAGATGAACCCGGACCTCCGGTCCTCGTCGACGTGGGCCCTGTGGTCCCCGCTCCTCTCGACGGCCAGGAGCGACGCCCTGGAGTAGGCGCCGCAGGTGAGGTCGACCTGCGCGTCGACGGCGACGACGGAGGTGACGCGGCGGACGCACGCCGCGAACGCGTCGGTGACCCTGTCGTGCTCGTCGTCGAGGACGCCGTACACGCCGGAGGTGTGGTCGGCGACGTGGTGCACGGCCCTCGCGTCGTGCGCGCCGCGGAAGCCGAAGGCGTGGACGGGGTACCTGGGGTTGATGGCCTCGCGGAAGATGGTGCGGTCGTCGCCGTCGGAGATGAGGACGACGGCGCCGACGCGTTCGCGCTTCGCCTCCCAGCACCGCGCCTCCAGGATCTCGACGGCCGCGTTCAACGCCGGGAACAGCTTGGTGCCGCCGGCGACGGCCAGCGACTGCACCTTCCGGCTCGCGACGCCCCGTCCCTCGACGGACATCTCGAGAAGGCCGGTGGCGTCGACGACGGAGGAGTGGAACGGCACGATGGCGAGGCGGTCGTCGGCGCCGAGGTTTCCAATGACGAGGTCCATCGCCTTCCTCAGCAGGTCCAGCCTCCTCGCCGGCGCGCCGCCGCCGCCGCCGCAGCTGATGTCGAGCAGGGTGACGAGGTCAACCGGTGCACGGCGCGCCGCCGTCGCCGGCACGGCGACGCGCACCAGCACCGGGAGACGCGGGTGGCATTCCCGACGGGGGATCGCGTCCACCCTCGGGAAAGTGCTCAGCTGTACCTTGTCACTCGCCAGAGCTGACACTGGAGCCTGCAGATAAAATTTATAAGTTTTGAATCAAAGAGATCAAGCAATTCGACAAATGAAGTCTAATTTTGTTAATTGTACGTTTTTTTGGATTGATCAAATTCATACACAATTGACGAAATGCATGTAAACGACAGCTGATTAATTACCAGATTAATGTACATTGTTGGACCTAGTTGAATTTGCAAATCAAGTGCAAACAGAAGAGTTGGAACTAATTCAGAAGAGATGATAAGTGACACTGGAAGATATATATGCATGCATATCAGAGGATTGTTCAGCATGCATATATATATATATAGACGTCCCGATCGCATGTGATGGGATTAGCTGTTGCAGCTGGGCCATCACACATGCTGCCATGTACATGAAAGCATGATAACATTCTCTTGTTTTAGTGACTTTTACTTTAGCTAATTAACTTTACTTCATAGCTTTCTTCCCTAGAACATCTGCTGGTTCTTTCCAGCACAGCAGTGCTTCCGAGTTACAGCACCAAATAACATATTTTGATGGGAGAACAGTCTAAATATATTTTGATGGCACCCTGAAATGCCTGAACAAATGATCTCCCCATAAACCATTTTACCTGCAGGCACAGTATGTTAACTTCATAATTTAGCCTTATGTTGGTGCACGAATTGGTCAATTAATTAATTAATCAAGGGACTACCTATATGGCATTAATTTGACTGAAACCCGAATTTTGCAAATTGATTGTGTTTGAGATTTGTGCAACATACCCAAACCCTTTTTTTTTCTCTTTCCTCTCCTCAGTCCAGCCAACCGTTGCCGCTGCCCGTTCGAAAGGGATCAACTGCACCGGCGACCCTCCTCCCCCTCCCCCCCTCCCACTTCTCTTCCCCAAGGCAGTGGCGCCGAGTCCCCCGCCCTACTGTCTTTCCCATCTCCAGCGGCTTCCCGGCAATCCGCCACCGTCAGCCGTCGCCTCCTTACTGGTCTTGTTGTTGCCCGCACCTCCAGCGCTGGCCCACCGCCTCCCACCGACCCTTTGGCTTCGGCACCGTCGTCGGCACCTCGCTGTCCGCCCATGTTCGTCATTCATCGTCATCCCTCTAAACCCTAGGGAACCCTATCTTCCCCCAACTTCAACTCCAAACCCTAATCTGTATGTCTCCTGCTAGAGTTGGGGGAGTCATTGGTGCCGCAGAAGAGGGAGAGCTTGCAAGCCCATACACGAATTTTAGCGTAGATCCAACTGTCCAAAAATGTGTAAAATTTTATCCCCAATTTTTTATTGAATGCCATTTAGCATTTCTGATTAATTAACCAAATAAAATACATAAAATTGATTTAAATATCGGAGCCTCTTAATTCTTTTCACAGTGTGGTTATATAAAACTTACAAATCTAATTTAAATACACTTAACTTCATTATCTAAAGAAATGAACTTACGAAAACATGCATCTTTCGTGCAAGAAATTGAATCTAGCTATAGCTCGCCGATCCCTCTCATTTTTTTTTCCTTCACGAGCAAGATGCTGATGAACACAGCTTGCCGACGATCCTCTTTAGCACAGATCTCGATGCGACTAATCATTCATGCATGCATGCATGCTTACTTGGCACATGATATGATCGAGAGAGTGACATAAATATTAGCAAAGAACAAAGGCCCGTAATTAATAGCTCGATATTTACAGCTTACAGGTAAATAAAGAAAAAAAAAGAAAAAGTAAAAAAAGAGATAGACTTCTATCATCCGATCTGAGATACGAACGGCCCGGATCTTGCTGGGTCACAGTACACGGAGTGCTTCCACCCTGCTTGTCTGCCTCAAAGTTCGCAAGGACGTGTACACATAGTAGTACTAGTTAGGGTTCTTCTGGAACAGGTGCAATTACAGATATTACGCATCTAACCGCTTCTTTTATTCAAAAGAAATACAATATAATACAAATGTACCGCTTACAATAAGTACTCGTCCCTATAAACATACATATATATGCACCTTACTTCTATAAGCATTCCCGGTGTATACTTATATTGGTATATCTTGAGATTGACGAACCCCGAACATATCATAATCAACTTGTTAACTGAACTTAGCTTGTTTAGGCACGTAGTTAGGATAATTTAGCTCGAAGTACTGAATAATTGCAGAGGCAAAAATATAGCACTTGAACAGTTGCATATTTGTAGTACTGGTATACAATGTGTCGATAGTGATGCATATATAGGGGCATGTACACGTACCAGAACGGCGAAAAGCAGTAGTATCTATATATACGGTCCGTACATAGCGTATGCATGCATGCATACGTAAGCATATTTAATTATAAGCATATCATGGCGTACGTATAATCTTATTTATGGGTGATATTAATTTGTATTCTTGTTGTATGTATGTATGTATATATATATATATATATGGAAGCACATGCAACATACATGCATGCATGCATGTGCATGGATGCAGATGGCCGGCGTTTGCATGCATGCAGCTCCGCCGTCTCAGAGGCCGCATGAACTGTCCCCGCCGCCGCCGGACTTGGAGCTCCTCCGGCCGGTCGCATGCACGACGGCCTGTGCATGTCCACGTCATCATCAGATGATTAATTAGCACGCATGCAGATCATTATTATTGAAAAATGCTACTAATTTGCATGTATACTACTTTAGTACTACTCTGTTTCATTTTGTAACAAGCTTTGAATCGTTCGTAATCAAATTTTCTATGCTAACCTAATTTATCAACATCTAGAACACGCAAATTGTTTCATTAAAATTTAACATTAAATATATTTTGATAATATATTTGTTTTGTTTTGAAAATAATCTTATACTCCCTCCGTTTCAGATCATAAGACGCTTTAACTTTGATCAAAATCAAACTATTATAAGTTTGACTAATTTTTTTAAAAAATAGTAATATTTTTAACCCAAGACAAATATATTATGAAAATTTATTCAATTAATTTAATAAAATTATGCTGGTGTTGTAAATATTACTACTTTTTTTCTACATAATTAGTTAAACTTAAAGTAATTTGACTTTGACCAAAGTCAAAACATCTTATAACCTGAAATTAAGTGAGTATTTTTCTATAAATTTGATCTAGCTTTAAAACCTACTTAGAAAAAAGGTCAAATTGATAGTCTTGTAATATGACCAAACGGAGAGTATACTAATTAGTACTCGATCCGTCCAATAATATAATAACCTTCGGATGTTACATAATATAGCACAATGAATCTAGACAAACCTATATTATACTCCATCCGTTTCAAATTATGGGTTGTTTTTGAATTTTTTCTAGTAAAACTTCTTTATGTTTGACCATGTTTATAGAAACATTTACAGCACGAAATTAGTTCCATTAAATATTATATTGAATATATTTTGATAATATGTTTTGTGTTAAAAATGTTATCATATTTTTCTATAAATTTGGTCAAATTTTAAAAAGTTCGATTAGAAAATAAATTAAAACGACTTATAATATACGAAATAGAGGGAGTATGACCTATGGAATGGATGGAGACATGGAGTAGGAGTAAATGAGTTTTTATTACCAAGAAGACGTCGTGGAACATGGCGCGGTCGATGGAGTCGCGGGAGGCATCGCGGAAGATGGTGGTCATGTGGTCGGGGCACTCGCCGTCGTGATGCATCGGCGGCAGCTCGCACTTCACCTTGGTCCAGTACGCCAGCCGCTGCTCGATCATCTCCATCTCCGAGCTCTGGTACTTGCGCTTCCTCTCGCCGCCGCCGCCGCCGCCGCCGTGATGAGCTCCGGACCACACGAACTTGCCCATCGCCGCCGCCCCTCCCGCCGTGAAGCTCTGCCGCGCTGCCGCCGCCACAGCCGACGCGCCGCCGTTCCCCTTCGCCGCCGCCGCCACCGACGTCGTCGCCGACGGCGACGACGACGAACGCGCGTGCTGCAGGTGCTGCAGGGAGTGGCAGGTCTGCCACGACAGCATGTACGACATGCCGGAGCTCCGGCGCAGGGTGGCCTCCATCTCCGACATCTCCGCGTCGAGCGCGGAGACGAAGCACGCCGGGGCGGCCTCCTTGGCGAACTCCGACTTCTTCAGGAGGCTCCACTGCTTGTGCAGCTCGTCGGCGGCGCCGGCGAGCGCCCTCCCGTTGTCGCCGTAATTTTTGATGATCTCGCCGACGATCCTCATCGCCGCGACGCGGACGATCTCCGCCGCCACCAACCTCGAGTGCTCGTCGCCGTCCCTGACGACGACGACCTGGGCGGTTCGCCGTGCCATCTCTCGCCCGGCCTGGTTCTCCGCCGCGTTCTGCGACGTCGTCGTCGAACGGTCCTCGTACTGCACGCCGACGGTGAGCATGCTCGGCAGGTGTTCGAGCTCGTCGTCGCCGACGTTGTCCACGTAGACGAGGAAGCTCCTCACCGCGCCGGCCTGGAGGGCGCCGGCCTGGATGGTGCCGCGCTTTCCGCCACCATTGATGTCGTGCTTGAACCTGCCGGACTCGATGGCCGTCAGCTTCGCCGCCGTCGACTCCGCGCCGCTGCAGGAGACGCTGACCTCCGCGTCGACGGCGACGATGGAGGTGATGTTGCCGACGCTGGTGACGAAGGCGTCGGCGAGCCCGTCGTGGCCGTCGTTGAGGATGCCGTAGGTGCCGGCCGAGGTGTTGGCGATGCGGTGCATGGCCCTTGCGTTGTGGGCGTCGCGGAAGCCGAAGGCGTGGACGGAGCAGTTGAGGTTCATGGCATCGTTGAGGACGGAGGCGTCGTCGCCGTCGGAGATGAGGACGATGAACCCCGGTCTTTTCTTGTCATGGTCTTTCCGACCTTCCAATATCTACACACAAAAGGAAAATATCTCAATAAGAGTATCATTACTGAAAAAAACCGGGAGATACCACATTTTCTAATATAAAATTTATTACCGTATTATAATTTCTAGTGTAGAATCTTAGCACCTCTAGGTACTTTCTCAAAAACTATAAAATTTCTCTCTCAATAAACCTCTAAAGACCACTCTTCTACGTCTGTATTTATACTATGTTTCTTAAAAAGTAGTAAAACACAATACTATTTAAAGAAAACCTAATTGCTATTTTTATAATATATTTGTTTTATGTTAAAAATGTTATTACTTTTTTTCTGTAAAAATAGTTAAATTTAGAGTAGTTTGGCTTTGACCAAAGTCAAACGGAAAGAGTACACTAGATGACATACCGTCGCTGCCTTCTTCAAGGCCGTTGACAACTTGTTTTCGCCGGTGACCGTCAACGACGACTGCACCATCCTAGTGGCCTCCTTCCGTCCCTCAGCGTTCATCTCCACGAGATCGTGCTTCTCGGCGATGGCGGCGGAGGCCTGGACGGGGACGACGGCGAGGCGGTCATGCTCGCCGAGCTTGTCGATGACGAAGCCCATGGCCTTCTTGAGGAGATCCATCCGGTTCACCGGCCCCAGCCCGCCGCAGCAGCTGACGTCGAGCACCGCGACGAGGTCAATCGGGGCGCGCTCCGATGACGCCGCCGCCGGCGGTGGCGCGACGACGCGCACCAGCACGGGGACGCCCGGCCGCTGCTTCACCGCATCGACATGGACGGCGTCGACCTTGGCGTAGGCCGTCACTTGCACAGTGTTTGCAGCTTGAGCCTAAATCCATATGCATAAGTGAAACGAAGTGAGATGCACGATTGCACGAATCGTGAAGCAGATCTTAGTTACTTCCTCCGTTTCACAATGTAAGTCATTTTAGCATTTCCCATATTCATATTGATGCTAATGAATATATATAAATATATATGTCTAGATTCATTAGCATCAATATGAATGTGAGAAATGTTAGAATGACTTACATTGTGAAACGGAGGGAGTATATAAATAGCTGAGATGCATGCATGATCGCTTGGTTTTTTTTGTTTGATGATATTTGATCATGCACATTATATACGTGGAGAGATCATTACGGGCTTCTTTGAAACACAAGATTGAGAAAACGGATGGATAGGAAAAATCATAGGATTTTGATAGAAATTCAAATGTAAAACAGAAAATTAGAAAACATAAAAAAAAACATAAAATGATCATTTGATTGGACCGTAAAAAACATAGAGATTGGATGAGAGAGATATACTCATAGAAAACTCTAAATGAGGCTGGACCTAATGTTTAAAATCCTCCAATACTCATATGGATTTGAGCACTCTTTATGAATTTCATAGGATTCAATAGTTTCCAATCCTTTGTTTCAAAGGGTTATATAGAAAAAAAATCCAATAAAACTTGAATCGTACAAAAATTCTATGTTTTTCATTCAAATCCAAGGGATCCAACATGTGTAATCATATTACCAATACAAGCGAACAAACTAGTACCAAGAAAGTAACAAGATTACCTGAGACATTTGTCTTTGTTGATTGTGTGTGGCACTGCAGCTGATTAATTAAATCAGATATGAGGGTGTTCGCAAGGATGGATGGTATACAGGTCAGAACAAGGACACCTGCAGGTGATATATATAGGGACTTATCACTAAGCTCTGATCATTGTTAGGCCTGGTTTAGTTCCTAACTTTTTTTTTTTCAAATTTCCAATTTTTTCATCACATCAAAACTTCCTACACACAAACTTTCAATTTTTCCGTCACATCGTTCCAATTTCAATCAATCTTCCAATTTTAGCGTAAACTAAACGCACCCTTAGGTTAGTTTACTAAATTGCCCTTGTATGCTCGAGTATATATTTCTCTCTTGCTTGTTTTCCTGGGGTCGATACTGTGACATACAAGTATTTATATATATATCTTCTTTTGATGCTTTGCATATATTCTCGTAGTGCTTTGCCCCATCCATACTTCAAAATTGTCTTGAAATATTAATGATGCACATTTATACGTGAGAATAAGGTGATCAAGAGATTCAGAGAGCAAAGCATCTAATAATTGGTTTTCATCCATGACGTTTCTATAGATCTTAGCCCATATATAGAGGTAATTCTATGATCCGCCACAGTAAATTTGTGGGATATATATCAAAGAGGAAATTGGTGTTAGCAGTAATTTCGAGCGGGTTACTACCATTTGATCTGGTAATTTATTAGCTATCTAGCTATATATGTTGAGAGGATGTCACTCGCTGTAGTATATCGAATATACACGTGTTCGTCTGTTGATGTCTAGTGAACTTTTGAATTAAAATATAGTTTTTTTTCTTAAGGAGGAAAGATAAATTATTATTGACAATCATTAACTGAAAGTATGGAAAAAGGACGAGATGGTATAATTATTTTGGATGGGCAAATTAAACAAACACGCACGCTAAGCACACTGTCGGTTCTGATCATTTGTTAATTATATTAGCTCCTCGCGATTCGCTATGTGAGTGCTAACTAAGGTAAGCAAGGAACAAAACCCTATATATATAATAAGCCGAACCAGATAAGCATAACAAATTAAAGAACACTAATAGTTTTAGTACGTAGTTGGACCCAAATGGCGTCATGGAATTATGTTCTTGGGTATCTTTCAATCTCGATCTCGGAGACTCGTTGTTTGTTCTTGTTGGATGGGTCTCGTTGTTTAATCTTGTTGGATAGGATGTTCATGGATGAAGATATTGATGAATTGCTCTTTGATGAGATATTGTGGGGATCAAATAGAGCCGATACATCGAGCCGGATTTTTTTTTTTATTCGTTGGACCTTATAGGTGCCGGTTCTACACACCGGCACCTATCATTTCTCCTCATTGGTGCCGCTTTGGGGGTGTCGGTTGGGAAACCGGTACCTATGTGGTTTCCCAACCGGCACCAATGTGGTTTTCTGTACCAGTGACACCTGAACTTTGCTACTCCGTAGCAACTAACCGGCCATGTAAATGGAAAATAATAATAATAATCAGGATTATTTTTATAAAAGGGGTTAGGAAGTCCTAAATAAGTAATATTAAACATTTTATTATGCTACCTCCCTAAATTAGAAAAATAACAGGATATATAAATTATAGAAGAAGAATTGTCCATACTTTTTCTCGACCCATGATCTCAATTCTCACGTCTTGTTCGTAGTTGTTTGAACAAACGTGAGTAAACCAGACATAATATATCAAGACTGCCTACACATTATTTAATAGAAAGTCCTCTAGAAGTATCACAAATTTTGAATCGTCCTAGCCAACACACAACCCTACACCTCCTTCTTCTTTCCTCCTTCTCCTGACTCCTCCTCATACCCCTATTACTCACCAGTGCCTGATCCGTGCCACCTCCACCACTATCGCCACAGCGTACCGCTGCCTAGCCTTGCCGACTATTGGAAGGCGTCAACACCGTTGGCAAGGCCTTCTCCCCCGGGCGGCCTCCTCGACCTCCCCCTCCCTCTCCTACCCTTTCCTCAAGCCATCGGTGGCAGGCTGGCCCCACGCTGGCTCCCTTTATGCTAGATCCACCACCACCAGCCACCACCTCCTAACCAGTCATTCTGCTTTGCCCCCGCCGCCAACACCGGGCCACCACCCGCTTTCGACCCTGTGGCTTTGGTGGAACTGCAGCAGCCTCACTGCCCACTGTTGGGCTATCCCACAGTCGGGTGGTTGCCTTTCATAGCCATCCATCTAAAATCGGTAAACTTCCCTCTCTTCCCATTCCCCCACCCTCTCCCAACCTAATCCCATCCCGAGATCCTAATCCATAGGTCCATATCAAAGTTTGGGGTGCTATCGGTGCCAGAGAAGATGAGGTCGTCGGAGCTGAAGGAGAATAGCTAGAGCACGAATCGTGAAGCACATCCAACACACTATAATCTGCATTATTTGGAAGTATAGGTTTTATGTGGAATGAAATTTAGCAATTCCATAATATATAATTCTAATAGTGTAGTGGTTGGCTTGCGAGTTGGTGCTCTACTTTGACTAGAAAGTCAATTTACAACTTAAGTACACACATACTCATCTATATCATTACATTCTACATCATGGTTTTAAAAAATTGTAACGCCCCGACATTCATTAGCCATTAACACAGCTAACTCACACCGGGGTGTTATGCATTACCTGTGATATAGCACCACTCCCAGGATACACTAGCTGGTACACACAGAATAAATGTGGAATCAAAGTAAACTGCTTTATTACATCACTGGGTAGTAGTCCTTACATAAGTTGCTATCATGGACAGGCCCATAAATGAGCAACACAACATTATAGAAAACCATAAAAGCAACGGCGCAGAAGCAAACAGTGCTCCATGCAACTTTGCACTAGGCGAAGAACCTAGGCATCTATCTTATTCCACAGGCGAGGCTTGGGGCTAGGCACGAAACATCTAGAAGTCTTCATACTCGGCTTGCTCCTAGAGATATTCCTCGGCGGTCGGGTCGACGTCTTCATCTTCATACTCTATATATTGATATAAGGGGCAAGGGTGATTACTTAACGTACTCAGCAAGCCAGGGGAAAAATGACATGTTTGGTTTAAACAAGGAGGCTAAGGTTTTATTTGCGAAAGCTGCCTTTTTGGCAAAGTGATTTATTTCACAAAACTCCTAGTGAATGAGTCAAGTTTTAGTTGTCGGGAGGAGGCTCACGCCTCGACCCATTCCACAAGTTGCTTTGCAACAACTTGTCATGATTAACGAACAACAATTAATTTGTTCCTCTATTAGTTTCTTCTCACAGCAACACATAGACCACACAGATATCTCAACACAACAATGCCATCATCATGGCCCTAACAACACCTCGGTGTCGGACGACACCCTAGGTCACACAGACCCGTTCCTAACCACCCAGGTTAGCCGTCTGCCACACAGGCGGACTCTGGCAACGTTACCCTTCCCAATAATCACTTCTTCACAAACATTTTTCAAACAAATCTACGCTATGAGAAACACCTTACACTCGCCCTTGACCGTGGGCACGGCTGTTCGAACAGTTCATTAATCTCTGCAGAGGTTGCACGCTTTACCCACACGACACGAAACTGACATCGTTTACCCGTCGGCAACGAAAGTTCGTGATAAGGCCTTTCCAAAGCTAACCCATGAAAATCGCATGCCACCTAGTTGGGCTAAGATCCATAGCCAAGTATCAGGCAATGATAGCCGTCATCCACTCAGGAAATACCGAGGATACCTCCTACTCCTACCGGTACCACGCCACAATAGAGGCAAAAAGACACCCATGATGGGCAAAAATGTGTAACACTTCGTCTCCTCATCCTCGGCATTCCACAACCATTGGCACACCAACTCCCATGTGAAAACAATTTACTTAGCCAGAGGCATCCCATAAATACCCGTGTGGTCGCACTGTAACGTGTTTGGATGGATGTAGACCCCCGTTTTTATAACAGGAATCAATCGTGTAAACAGTACCATTTCCCTGGATCAAGTAGTCTGGTACACACGAGTTCATAGCTGAAATACCAAATGCACATACACGAAAGTCTAGTGCGAAATATTACATCAAAAGCCCGCAGGCATAGTCTTAGATCATCGGACCGAGCGGTCCGGAATACATTCGAAAAGCAGAAGTAGATAAGGCAGCGGAGTCATGGCAGCGGCACGCCACTGCCACAGGCAACGACCGTAACTAAGACCTACAGAGCGCCATCGTCTTCATCACCCTCCTGGTAGTAAGCGTAGGGATCCTCCGAAGCTTCATCTCCGACCTCTGATTAAGTTTGTATATTGCAAGGGTGAGTACCAACCGTACTCAGCAAGCCACCACAGCAATAATGCACATGACAGGGGTATTCAAAGGATGGCTATGGTTCTTTTGCGCAAAGCAAGTTTTGTAATTCTTTTCACAAGCCTAAGACCTAGCACAGACTGATCAAATTTTAGTACCAGTGTTCATATTAAACAATGACGGTTCTGTCCACCATCCATTGTGATCCCAAGGATAGCTTCCCGCCATTGAATCGTCATGGTTTTCTGAGGACATCCACATTCCCGCCTCTCAGAAAGTGGCTCCATCAGCATAGAAATCATCATGCAATATCCCATCCGACACAAGTTAAGAATTTAGAGTCTAGCCAAGTGTAATACATGTCCCGGTGCTTAATAACCGCGAGCACGGCTATTCGAATAGATTTGGTTTACTCACACTGCAGTGGATGTACACTTTACCCGCACTCCGCGACTGCCCAACACATGAGCCTCGTCCCAACACATGAGACGCGTCACGGCAAAGCTTTTCGATAACCTCGCATTGGCAGTACCCGCTCCATGAACTTTACATCCTCATGCACTCTAGGCGTACACGGTTTCTAGCAGTGAGAGGAGTTCTGGCGCACCCGGAAAGGGAAGACTCACACATGCATTAAGTTATAATTATGTTTAGATTCTCACATGGCAGTCCTACCGATGGCGACACCACTGTAGACACCCGCCTCACGGTCCTACCAATGGCTGCCCCACCGTAGAGCCCCTGCCTCACACATCAAGAAACCACTATGCATGGATACTGCCTCCGCTCAGCTATCTACTCTGC